CACTGGACTTGAAATCACTTGTTTCCTGATGTGTTGGTGTCACTCCCACTGGAGTATAAAGGAAAGGACTTTGCTTCTCACTCCCCACTCCACACCTGCAACCAGCTCAGGGACCAACATGTAACAAACACTCAATTGCTTTTGATGAAGGAGGAAGGAATTATGATGAGTGAATGGATGAATGAGTGAGTGATTCATAAACTCTACAGATTCTGGAAGCTGGATGCAGAGTCCTAGGAGGTTTTGGCCACTCCTGTTCCCTATCCCTCCAGGGGCTGGGACCCACATTCCATCCCTCTGATCACCTGCCCCTAAAGGCCCCACAGGAGCCAAGCCTCATGGTGACTGTGGGGCTGCTACCACGGGAGGGTTTTTCTGCTGCACTGGTCCTTCTCTGGACCAGCCGTGGGCTCTTGGTCCCTGGGTTCTCTGAAGTCACCTGTAAGCCCCACCGCTCATTACCATGGACAGTTCTGGCTCTCTCTGCTCCTTCCTGTCCCTCACCTGCCTCCTCCTTCATTCCAGCCACGCTGCCCTGCTCTGCTCTGCTTCCTCCACCCTGAAGCCTCCCGGGATTCTCCCACTAACACCTGTGGCCAGGGCCACCCTCCTGGACAATAGGAAAGGACACAGAAATCAGTCGGAGCAGCAGCCCCTGGCTCCATCATGAGCCAGTTTCCCAGGTTACAAGAACGAGCTTCCGCTGTGCCTCCGTCTAGGGCTCCTTCCCTCCCTGATGCCAACAAGCAAACAGGCCACATGACAGAGACTGTCACCCCTTGATGTGCTCTCTACATGATTCAACCAGGGAGTCAAAGGCAGAAGGACAGGTCTGTCCCCAAAAGCTCTCAGGCTCACTTTGCCCGACTCATGACTCACATCCTCGTCCAGGTGTGAGGCTCCCGTTCCTCCCAGTGGTTCCCGAGACCTTCCCAATTGGGTGGTGACCTCATGCCATCTGACTGGTATACTGCCTATTTCACACACGTGTGTCCTCATGCTGACACCTTTAGCATTGGACGGGATCCTTGCAGACAGTGAGATACACAGGCTGCTGTCCTTTCTCTTAGACACTGCCCACTATGGATGAATTTGATCAAGCTCTAGTTCTGTTTCCTGAGTTAGAGACAAAGGGAAGAATGCATGCCACATGCCCGTGTGGGGCTCCTCCCCCATTTGACTGACTGTCCATTGAAATTGGTGACAGGGACCTTCTTCCTAAATTTGCTAACATAACACATATTGTTTCTACTAATTTGGGCTCTTAACTCCCTGTGTACAACAGCGAAACCTAGACTTCCCTTCTGATCACTTCTGTCCTCTTAACAGGACTCACATTCTCTCCCTCCCCAGGGCGCCACTGATTTCACACCCACTGTAGCATCTTCCTTTCATCACAGTGTGATCCTGGTTGGACTGCAGAACCGGGTCTACGACCTTCTGTGCTCTCTAGAGAGATTCCTCTAGAAACAGGTCTTAGATCTTCGGGCATTGATAATGATTTTCACATATTCTTTCATAATATAACTTCTACCAATGTTCTGTCTCATAACTGTCTTTACAAATGGTTCACAAGGGTCAAGTTTTTAACAAGGTCATGCTCCCCCACTTTCCACAAGCCACCCCTTCTGTACTTGGTACTGTTTAGGAGTATTTCAGGAGGAATAGACATGGTCCTCACTGCCCTCAGCAGTGGGAGAAGAGACGTTAAAGACCAAGGGCAGAGAGCGTGGTCCTGCCAAAGCCAGCCCGCTCCTGCCGTCCCCTCACTCGTTTCTGAATTATTCCTGGACTCTGCTCTATCCTTTTGGGATCACTGTCTCCTTTCAGTCACCAGTGAACACCCCACCTCATGATCCTGCAGCCTGAGTACTGAACTGACCGCCGACCTGCTTCTGGTCTCCCCGTGTATTATTTCTGCTCAAACACCCAGTTCCAGGCCATACTTCCTGCCCAGTTTCTCGGGGTTTAAGGACTATGGGATGGCCCGTCATTACTCACCTCTACGACAACCTTGGAAAGTGAGGCTTCAGTTAAAACACATCTTGACCAGCAGTGCAGGTCTGTGTAGCTCGAAGAAGTTCAGCACCTGCACCTTACAGGTGAGCACTCCGAGGTTGGTCAGGCAGTCAGCCAGTCAGTGAAGAACCAGGACAGGTGCGGGGTAGGGGGTTTCTGACTCCAGGTCCTGTGTCTTTCCATGACCAAAACATGTTAATTTATTGACACTTGAGAAAGTCTGTGTTTTCTCCCAGACATAGAGCTGGTGGCCTTATGTTCTTTGAGTGCTCAGAGCATCATGCATTTGTCTTGTGATACACAAACCTGCCTATTCTTTGAAGGATTCAGGTTGGCTGAGAGGTGAGAGGTACCAACTCTGATTGAAGATGCCTTTGGAGAAATCAAAGGTACCACACAGGCAATGTTCTCTCTGTTATCTGCACAGCGGAATTACCCAAACCCAACATCACAAGCAACAACTCTAACCCTGTGGAGCACAAGGATGCTGTAGTATTCACGTGTGAATCTGAGATTCAGGACACCACCTACCTGTGGTTGATCAACAGTCAGAGCATCCAAAACAGTTCCAAGCTGGAGCTGTCCAAGGACAACAGGACCCTCATGTTACTCTATGTCACAAGGAATGACATGGGACCCTACGAGTGTGAACTGCAGAACCCAGTGACTGCCAACCGCAGTGACCCACTCTACCTGAATGTTTCCTGTGAGTAACTTCTGCCCTCCCTGGCCCAGGCTGCCCACCCAAATCCACACTGCCAGAGGTCAGGCTACATCCGTCCGTCTCAGGTCCAAGTACACACACCCTCACCCCTGGACACCCATTATAGCCATCACTTCCTCTCCCAGGCAAATACGGGCAGCCCCAGCCTTGAGCTGAGACTAGGAGGGGACGGGCTGCTCCTGTCTTGAGGGGCTTGAGGTCAATAACCTCTCATGGAAGAAACTGGTTAATGTCTCAGAATCAGGATCAGTGAACACAGGGAGTTATGGTTGGGACTTTTTAAAACAAGATTGTGACCCAGCTCAGAAGGACAGTGTGGCCCTTATACAGACAAGGAGTGTCCCCTTTGCTCTGATGACATCACATGTGGCTTTTTTCTCTTTGCTCCAGATGGCCCGGATTCCCCCACCATTTCTCCCTCAGACACCCATTACCGTCCCGGGGCCAACCTCAGCCTCTCCTGCCACGCAGACTCTAACCCACCCGCACAGTATTCTTGGCTTATCAATGGGAGGCCCAAGCAGTCCTCACAGGAGCTCTTTATCACCAACATCACAGTGAATGATAGTGGAACCTATACCTGCCTCGTCCATAACTCTGTCACTGGCCTCAACAGTACCTTGGTCAGGACTATCACAGTCTCTGGTAAGTTGCTCCCTGAACCACCAGTGCTAAGCTCTGGGGTGGAGGTCTGTCTGATTTTCAGAAAACAGCCTAGAGGTTGTTTGCCATCCTGTGGCCATGGATACAAGCAAATCACAAATTCTTTCCCCTGAGCCCTCCCATTACATCTCTGTAGACTCTCTCCTCTCCTTGTTCTTCTGATTTCTCATGGTAGAACTTGGGTCCAGCCTCACAGTGTAGAAAGGGAGTTCTCTCAGCCCCAGAAAGCCCCATGTGGTCGAGTGGGCTTCAGAGAGGGGAAAAAATAAAGGTCCTCAAGGTCAAGTTGCTTCTTCTGTCACTAACACATTCCTCTTTTTTTTTTTTTTTTTAAGATTTTTATTGGGGAATTGGGGAATGGGAATAG